CGCCGTGTACGACGGCCAGCGCCGCTCCCGCTCCGACGGCTCGTTGGGGTCCCTGCGGCGACGGCCTCAGCGTGGCCTCGACACCCGCTCGTCCCGTCCCGTCCCATCCCTCCATCTAGGTCAGCTTATCTTCGTCCATCCATGTTGTCTACCCTCCATCGCTCCACCCATCTGTCTATGTAGGTGCATCTTCATCAAGCCACCCACCCACCCAACCCTTCGACATCTACGTAGACTTACCTTCATCCCTCCATCCACTCACCCAACCCCTCAACGTCTACGTAGGCGTATCTTCATCCCTCTGTCCACCCAACCCTTCAATCAACCACCTATGCAGACTTTTCTTCACCCCTCCACCCCTCCCTCCGTCTGTGCCTTCTACCCTCCATCCCTACCTCCACCCATCCATGTAGGCTTATCTCCATCCATCCCTCCATCCACCCAACCCTTCAATCAACCATCTACAGGCTTATCTTCATCCTTCCATCCCTCCACCCAACCCTTCAACCAGCTACACAGGCACATCTTCATCCATCCATCCATCCAACCCTTCAACATCTACGTAGGCAAATCTTCATCCCTCCATCCATCTCTCCATCCGTCCACCCACCCAAGCTTTCAATCAGCCATCTATGTAGGATTATTTTCTCCATCCATCCACCCACCCAACCCATCAACCACCTACGTAGGTGCATCTTCATCCATCTACCCATCCACCCAACCCTTCAACATTTACGTAGACTTCTCTTCATCCATCCATCCGCCCAACCCTTAAACCACCTACGTAGGCTTTTCTCCATCCACCCACCCAACCCTTCAACACCTACGTAGGTGCCTCTTCATCCCTCCATCCACGTCTTCTACCCACCACCCCCCGTGGCACCTACCCAGTGCGCGCAAAGTTGCCCCAGTAGCGCATGATCCTGCGGCTGAGCTGCTCCTCCTCGGCCGTGTAGTTGAGGCTGGGGTTGAGGGGTTGCCCGAAGACGAACTCGATCTCGTAGCCGTGAGGGACCCCCATCCAAGGCGGCCACAGCAGGTTGGACGCTCGATGGTCGAAGAGGTAAGCGAAGACCGTGCCGCCCCGCTCCGCCCACCGCTGGGCGAAGTGCATCAGGGGACACACCACGTTGTGGTCCCCCACGATGTCGTCCAACGCCTCCCGGTTCTTCACGGGGTTATCTTGGTCCAACCAGTCGGTGTACTGCAAGACCACCGCCTCCGCCGCCAGCTCGTTGGCTTGGGGCACCCCCAACCTCACCCCCCCCAAAAACTCCTCCCGGCTAATTAAACTCTCGTTATCTTTCCCAAAACCCGGCACCCCGTAGACCAAGAAGTAGGTGCCTTCGTCTTGGACGGCTCCCAGAAGCACCTCGGCCTCGGGGCGACCGCTGGCCCCCAACAAGGCTTCGGGGGTGTCCACCAAGAAGTCTCCGTCCACCACCGGCACGAAGGCGAAGCGGAAGACCCCTTGTTGAGGCAACACTGCCGCCTCTTGCTCTACCAACTCCGGCGGCGTCTTGCCTCGGAGACAACCTAACAGCTCCGTCTCGTTGGCGATGGTGCCGCCGCTGCCGCCGCCGCATCCCACCAGTTTGCCCAAGGTGGCCGCTCTCCGTCGTCCCTCCGCCGCCCCCACGGTGGCCCAAGGACCATTGGGGGACCCGCTTTGTAGGACGGCTCGGCGAAAGAGGGGACGGCTGGTGGCGGACAACAAGTGCAAACCGACGGAGGCGGCACCGGCGCTTTCCCCAAAGAGGGTGACGGCGCCAGCGTCTCCGCCGAAGGCGCCGATGTTGCTTTGAACCCATCTCAAAGCCAACCGTTGATCCAACAACCCGACGTTACCCGGCGCTTCCGGGTGTCCCGGTAAAGCCAAGAACCCCAAAGCGCCGACCCGGTAGTTCATGGAGACCACCACCACCCCTTCGGCGGCGGCGAGGTAGCGTCCGTCGTAGACATCCAAGGAGGCGGCTCCGCTGTAGAAGCCACCGCCGTAGATCCAAACCAAGACGGGGACGGTGGTGGAAGGTCGAGGAGCCGGTACCCAAATGTTGAGGTAGAGACAATCTTCACTCATCTCCCGGTTGGGGTTCCACATCTCGGAACCACCAAAACCGGGGAACATGGTGTCCACCGCCTGGTAACAAGCGTGACGGTGGGAAGAAGCATCCAACACCCCGCGCCAAGATCTTGCCGGACGAGGGGGTTGGAAACGAAGATGACCCAATGGGGGTTCGGCATAAGGGATCCCCAAAAAGGCGATGACGTGGTCGGTGCCGGCCGGTAGACGGATACCTCTCACCGGACCACTGGCAGTGGGGACCACCAGCTCGTCGGCGTTGGCCGGGACGGTGGGGAGAAGAAAGAGGAGGAGAACCGGGGATGCCGGGAACACCGGGGATGCCCGGCCCCCCATGGTGCAGGAGGCTGTGGAGAGAGACGGAGTTGGGGGGGGGGAACGGACCCCCTTGGGGTGGCG